TCATCTATTTCGGCGTCATCACTATCAAGAAATTCCTGATATTTTCTTTCACTCTCAATATTCCATCCAGGTGTGTCTTATGGCAGACGAAATGACAGTTCCAACAAATCTGTTGTAGTGTTTATATGTGGAGGGTATCCATATCAAGCGTTTATTAAGGTCTCCTGCGAAGCTAACAGTCGGCTTTTGAAAAATTCTATCTAGGCCTAGGAAAGGATGTCATTATCGGAATTTGGATACCCAATTGAACAAGGATTGGGTTATGTTGGCTTTTGGGAAAGTGTGAGGATGTATCTTTGAGCTCGGACAGGCTGACCGGCGTCGTTCGTTCTGATAAATGTTAAATTGGGGTTATATAATCTCAGTTCCAAACCATTGACCTGAACGAATTCTTCTCTTTATTATTAGTATATTAAATTTATATTGTTTTCAGCAGCCCAGTCGTGCAGCTTCTCGCCGTTTGTTCAGTCACCATGGTGACTATTAAAATCGCTACATATGCAGCTGGGTCGAAATAAAAGCTATTGAATGGATATCGTTTTCTGTGGATGTGGATACAAGATGTATGTTCAAAATAATTCAATAATATTACAACTAGGAATTCTTGATTGTGTTCTAGCCTGCTCATCACTTTCCAAGTGTGATTCTTGTATTAGGAGAAAATCCAGCAGTTTACTTAAGTATTGACCCTTGGATCTACTACTGCCCTCAATATTCAATGGCATATTCGGATACACTGCCCAATGTCTTTTGTCAATTGGTCCTCAGAAGGGCCAGTCTCCGTTAGTATCAGGGTATACATGTGTATAGATGTCCATGTGTATAGGTGTTTGTAATTTTGGATCATTGCTTAAATTTTAAAATCAGTAAACTTTTTGAAGTATTTTCAAGTTGCAAATTTGGTCTCTAAGTTTCGGAATTATTCTTAACACCAGGTGAGTGTTAAAAACTTAAATACGGGTTGTTATTATCTATTGGGACAGGTTTATGATTGTTTGTTATTGCTCATGTTAAATGAACGAAATATTTTTTTTTTATTTTCCTTTATAAACCCTAAATCCGTTCTTTTCATCTTCTAAAACCGGAAATATTTACTACTATTCTCAGGCGACGTATAGTTTCATTAAAAGTTGGTAGTGCCCGAAGTAATTAAAACGTCTAATGCCGCTCGCGGCCATATATCGAAGGAGAGATAGCATAAGCAGGCGAGGGGGGCCATTAAATTTAACTCCCCAGAAAATAGTGGCGGCAGCGCATAAACTCGACGGAGGCGGAAGTGGCAGAAACAGTTGAACGCCGCACAGGGTATTAAACTACGAGATGTAAATTTGCTGTATTAAATGCGGTGTTATAAACGACGCCCGTAGGTGCGGCATCGTCGTCGTCGTCGTCTGCGTGCTTCGGGGATGAAACCTTTTACGCATTTGGCCTCCATGTACAACGTCTGTTGCTCGGTCTATTACCCCGAGGGCATTAAGTACCTCTTTTAAGGTAATGGAAAATAAGCAACGGAATATTAGCTTCCGGAACATTTTATATTCTATAATATGTATAGAATATTAAATATACAAAGGATATGACCAATCACTATCTAAAATCCAATAACAACACTTTTATGACAAAACGTCTAAAAAATATATCGTTCTCAAGAACAGTAAATACGTGTAGTTAAACTATATTCGATCACAAGGGGGCTAAAAGGCACTGCGATTAAATCCTATAGTATGCAAATGAGTCAGATAATTGGATTTATTAGAATCATCTGATTTCTGTACAATAAAAGAATATTGTTTTAATAATGTTATATAGCATATAATGAGCATATTAGCAGTATAATTCTTAACAAATGTTTTTCATATATTTTCTTAATACATGATAAATTTTCCAAACTGTTGGTGGTATATTTTATGTACTTCCCATCGTTTAAGTCAAGGTCATACTAATCTCTGCTCACACACATATACACCGTTTTCCAAGTCCTGTTCACTGTATTTCTCTATGTACTTCCTGATCATATATTCCATATCTTGCTGATCTTGTGCGATTACTATTTGGTTGTCTGCGATAATTAATTACTTTATAAATTATCTGAAAACTTGAATATTTTGTTCGCAGCGCTTCTTTGGTCAAGCTTAAGTTAGATAGTAAGTCATCAAATAGTCTTCTGGTACCATCCGGTATTAAAGTGTTAAATCATACCAAAAAAAGAACCAAAGAAGTGTTTATGAACCAAAAATAACAAACTAGTATTAATTTGTACAGTTTGAGGGTGGCATCGCAGTGATTTGTTTCTTGATATACTTAAGATAATATTAATCTATCGTCATTGTACACAAATTTAAACTTCATTTGAAAAAGTTCATCTTTGCTTGTAAACTCATATATTCTTTAAACCAGAAAGATGTAATGAAAAACATCTGCACTTCCAAAATTTAATTATATTTGGTAGGTAATCTACATGAAATAATAATAATAGAACCTCAAATTAAGAATTAATTTCTTATCAAACACGATTTCTGTAAGGAAAACGAGGTATATTTTGAACTATCGATTTCTGCTGTGCTATTTAGCAACCATAATAACAGTAAAAAGAAAACAAAAGAACTCTAGATAAGAACGTCAAAAGAACAAGTAGCATAGCGACAAAAAGAAAATTTTGTGAATAAACGGACAAACTCGGGGACTGTACAAGCTCGGTAAATAAATGATATGGACAATTTTGAGTTTTATGGTCAAGCAATAGATGTTCGTTACCTGTTCAGAACTCTCTTTGGGAGAATCTAAGAGGAAGATGTTTTTTGCACATATGTAAACCGGTTAACAATTGGCTTGGCGCTTCTCTGCATTCCTAGTTGTTGGCATGAAGTTTTAGTGAAACATCATTTACACACCCAAAGCAAGTCCCTATTGCTAGCTCTTTACTCTGTGACTACTTTTCATCAGGAAGAGGTTTACTTCTAACGAGTCGGCCTTGGGAGTTTATCTATAAATAGAGGGCGTCTTCAATGAAAAGGCCTTCGAATGATTAGAAGGAAAGTGCTCTGATACACAAAACTGTTAAATTAGCTGCCCTTAAGAATGTGTGTTTTTGCCAAACTTTAGATAGGACGGAGAATTTACCTTAAAATGAATAAATAAATAAATCTTTTCACACGAATTCAAAAAATCGGTGGTCACACAATCTGTGTTCTTGTTACACCGTTTATTGCTGGTGTTTTTGTGGATTTACTCTATTCGTTCTAATCACTTTTACAGCATATTTTGAATCCTTGTGGATTTGTTGCCACGGCGTGATTAAGTGCAGTTTTTGACTACGTCTTGAATACATTCATCAAGAGCTCTCGTATTGTCTAATTGGATTTCCAAATTGACTTAAATACCATCTTAGGTTCTGATATCCTTCTTATTCAGTGTAAATAGGGTTTGATTTAGGACTCCCTATTAATCTCTAGAAGAGTGTTTTTCTACTTTCTCACTTTATCCAGCACTTTTTATCTGATTACTACAGTTGATTGTATTTATTGTGATGTAAATCCATCGTTTGGATTATTCGTATTATGATTCCCAGCAGGTTGGTGTCGATCATCTTAGCCAGCAACCCATCTTGCCAAACGGAATCGCAACCTTTTTTGGCATTTAATAGCACTGTAATAGTTCGTTGTCTTTTCTTCTAGACAAGTTAAAATGTGCTGGCGAAGTTCGCAATTTGTTTTACTTCTCCTCTACGTTCCCTGAATCCAAATTCATGCTTCAAAAGTAGGCCTTTCTCTTCGACTGGTTTTTATAGCACTTCTGGCAGAATTAGTTCTCTATTTTTCAATAAGGGAAGCAGTAGACTTGGTAAGGTTGTCTGGTCCCGAGTTGTGATAATTTTTTCCCGATTTTGAGTTGATTTCGAATCGGCGTTATCCATGAAATTTGCAATCGTGACTGCATCTTCCATGCTTCTCGAATGATGCTTCTCATACTTATGTTTTGACATTCAATAAACGGTTCTATCATTAACAACAACTTATTAAAAGTACTGTTACTCAAACGAAAAATTGCATAATTGCATTAAGAAAAACAAACTGGAGCTACTTTACTCGCTTTCTTAACGATTCTTTTACCCATCGCTTACGTTTTACAGTGCGTTTTGTAGCTCAAAGCAAAATAATTGCGGCAAACAACTTCTGTATATTATACATTCCTAATGAGCACAGGTCAAATATTATTACAAAACCGACGAAGTACTGATGATTTGAATGACTACGGTCAAATCGGTTTGGTGTACGGTCAAAAAATACTGATGGAGATTGAAATAAAAACTATCAGTCTCAGGAATAACACTCTCATTGATCGTGTAACGTCCCCTTTAGTAATAATAAATACATTGAGCAAGTACTAGTTTGATTATTTGCCTTTCACAAACCCAATTGATACCAAAACTAAACAATTAAGTTAGAAAGTTAACTTTAAAGGTGTTAAATGTAGCACTTCGATCACAAGCGAACTCGAGTCAAAACTGAAAATTTAAAACTTTGAAGGTGGAGTTAGATTTAAACACCACTTGTATTTCATCACCATTTGAACTAGAATTTAACATGATGTTTTTATAATTTTTAATTACATACTTATCTAATTATTAAAAACTATTACACATTCTCTTTTATCTATATCTCATAAGCTTATTAGGCATAATTATAACCTTTGCTTTAATTCAATTTTTTGTAATAATAGTATCCCTATTGGTTTTTGTAGACTCAACTGGACATTGTTTATGTAATTTAATGTGGTAAATATGAAATAATAAATAAATTATCTACATTGTAATAAATCTTAATTAATTTTTCCAATTTGATTAATATCCTTTCATTACGGCTCTTGAAACATCTTATTTCAACATCTTGAAACAATGCATGCAATCAAAATTAAGTAGTATTTTCTACTCCCATACAAAAAAAAACATCTATTGTAATCCGTGTGATTTAAGGTTAAAATTGCCATTAAAACAACTCATACAAAATATCCATCGATTCCATATTTATTATAGATACACATAAAAGTAAATAATATATTATTCGAAAATACGATTTGATTTCGCGAGTCGTACGAAGATACAATAATAATTTTATTCTATACGAATCATTACATCTACACACTATAAAACATACATTATCTACAGTTTATTGCATTTTCCTGGCGGATATGGAAGGAACAAACGTGTTTGCGTGTGCTATCGTACAGATCATATTATGTAGGTATAGCGAAAAATGTGTATATCGAAAATTATTATTTATAAAAACAAATTTATCTGCGCGCAACAACAAACGAAACGCGCGTATTTACAATTACACGAAATATATGTACAAACTTGTCGGGCTCGGGCCACGCTAAATAAATCAAACAATAAATCCATTATTCATGTCGACTTGGATAAATTTACCGGCTGAAAATGGTCGGTTTCAAAATTGGATTTCGAACGTCATCGTATAAAAACATCACGTCATGAAACCCCAGCGATAATAATCCTATAGTTTTAACATTCATTTTAACAAATCAAAGCGAAAACATTATTTATTTACATTAATAAATTGTATCTTAAGTAAAGTATTATTATTAGTATATTAAACAAAGCCGGATTAATTTTTTTTATGTTCCGACCTTGATATAAAAAAAGATCTACTTAAGACTGAATATCAACAACTTTCATTCTATTGTTATTCTCAAACGTTAAATGATTTCTTTCAGCATCCAAAAAGTTGGTTACCTCAAATGAATTGTGTTTTCTTCCACTTTGAATGTGCATATTAGTATTAACATCTTGATTTTTAATATTTTTGATATTTTTCCTTGTTTCAGTTTCTTTTATGTTATTATTTTCATTTTTTTGTTTCTCTTGTGCATCTTTTATGCTAAAATCTTGCAAAATTTTTAATAAACTTGAATGTTCAACGTTTCCTTGTTCATCTTGAGTAGGAAGATTTTCAAAAGAAATTTGAATCGTCTCCTCGACACTTTTCTCATCAGGCGTTGGTGGTGGTGTGCCATTTTTAACATTTGATGTATTTGAAACTTTTCTAGCAACTTCAACGGCAGTTTTGTTAATTTTTTTCACTAAAGATTCAGATCTTCTCACTGGAGGTTTCGGTTTTGGTTTAATATTTTCGATATCTTCCTCGTTAATGATTAAACTTTCTAAATCGTTTAAAATTTCAGCTTCAGATTTAATAGGCTTTGAATTTCTCGGTAAGCTTGAATCTTTAGGATTGTAATGTTCGATGATTTTTAAATCCCAATCTTCTAATCCCCCGAAAGAATCGTCACTTTCTATTTCGGCTAAAGGTGCCTTGTTATTTGTTAATTTATGAAGGAGTAATTGTGGTAGAGAAGAACCAAAACTTCGACATCTTGTTATGTAATCTTTCTTTTCTGTAAATGTGGATAATTTTTTTGTTTCTCCGGGTAAAGAATGAACAGATTTTCGTAATTCAACATCAATGTTTTCGCCATTACTTGCAACGCTAAATTTCAAATCTGTATAATTTGGTAAAGAAACGACTGAGAGATTCTTTTTTCTTTTAGCTTCTCTGTCTCGAGTGGTTTTATGATTTATTTTTGGTGTTGCAATTCGGGGAAGTAATTTGTGATCACGATTATGAGTCCTTTCGTGTTCTTCGTCAGTTGGGCAGCTATAATTTATAATTTTTTTCACACAAAGTGGTTCTTCGACAGGTTTCTTTTGTAAAGCTTGAAGACCACTTTTTGCAACAGATTCAATTCTTTCTTTGAACCCTTTTTTATGTTTTCGTGGCGGCGGCAAAGGGGTTCCATCAGTGCTATCACTTGAAAAGACTAATTTCGAATTTTTCATCTCAACTTCATCATCAGGAACTTCCAAAGAAACTTCAGTCCAATCTGACGACTTTGATATTGTTTTTGATATCGATTTTTGTTGATTTTGAGGAAGAGTCCCGTTTAACGGAGGAACTTCATACCTAAGTTGAAAAGAAAAATAATTACTTTAGTTCTCAGAAATATTAAAAATGAAAAGTGTGTTTAAACAACAATTTTGCTCACGCACAATAAAAAATAAATGTGGGAACAACTTCGTATTTATAAAGAAAGAGAAAATTGTAAATTGGACGTAATTAAGAAGCTGTACTAATCTCAGTTAAGTATTAAAAGATTGGAGTCTTATGGGAAACATTTTTCCTCGCACCATTATGATTATATGGTAATCAGGATAGTTTTTTCCGAGGTAATATTGTTATTACCAAGTAAAAAGTAAGTATCCCTAAATGGCATCATGCCAAATAACCGTCTCCAGACTCCTTTTCTACTTAATATTTGTAAAAATTTCAAGACTATAAAATAAAAGAGTAGAAATGCGATCTTAATAAGACTTGAATGGGACATACGGCAACAACAAAGTATTTAAAAGCGTTATGTGGAACGATGCGGAGAAAGATAAACGAGTAAAGCGAGTTACTGAGCCAGTTATGGTCTATAAAAAGTTTTACTCAGCAAGGAACCCGGTAACCACGATAACTAGAGTCTCTATTTTAATCTTTAGTTTCTATCGGTTGTTGTTGAGGTTCGTTGAGCTCTTTGTTGTGTTTGTTTCATTTTATTTCGTACATTTATTTATAAAATCTTACCTGTTTACATGCTTCCGTTCTAAATGGGAATCTGATTTCCATCTCGGTTTTAACTGCAAAGAAAAAGATTGTTTGGATTATTTATAGTGTTAAGTTGGTATGATTGAATCATTTTTAGGGATATTTTTAAATTTGGTTTAAAATCTTTTCATAAAACGTAAAATACTAACGAAATTTTCAAATAGGTATTTTAAAGTATTCATGATAAAAAATCTTACAATTAGTGAAGTCCTCATAAAATCTTTAAATCATTACAACCACAAAAACATTAATTAAGCGTTAATATCTAAATAGTTTTTTTTTCATTAAAGATTAAAGTAAATCTAATTAAGAAAAGATGTAGAAAAATTAAACAGTAAAAACCACTCAATTTAAGGAAACTTTCAAATATCTTTTTGCGAGTGTTTTTGCTTTCAGAAATCTTTCTTTACATCATAAAATTGTTCAAATATGATACAAATTAAGTATAAAAACATTTTAGAGCTTTTTCATATTTTGAAAATCGAAATAGATGATGTGTGTGGATAACGATAAAAATAAAATGTTGATAGTAAATGATGAAAGCATTAATCAATTTTGAACAGAATAATAAACAATGTAATCGCGATCTTAATTATTAAATAAAAACATGAACACTTCAATAACTCGATTAATTAACGAAGTCAAAAACGCGTAGAATTAAAAATCTATAAGACTTGGGAAAAACGCTAAGAGATGGCGATACAATGGTTCAACTTCCAAATTTGGATAGATTTATACACTTTGAGGGCATCTAAGTCAATTACAAATATTTTTGGCAAGATATTTGTGTGTGTGTGAGTTTGTTTGTTTGTGATTGATAACTCAACAAAATAAATTCGTCAACCGGAAGTGGTATTTTACCTTAAAAAATATATCCAACCTTTTTCATATACAGGTGATTTCCTCACTCCCAAATCCTCGGACGTACCATATACAATTATAAATAAGAGTAAACTGAATAATACTAAAAGTGAAGCCGTTAGTAGATAAAATTGTAAATAACTGATGTTAACACTAAGTTTGAAAAAGTTGGAAGGCATTGACAACGATTTTTTCTGCCAACTTCCCTTAGCTTCAAGAGAACATTGTTTTTTGAAGACATGATTTTAAATATAACAAGTATATCAAGTACTGGATATGGCCGACTTAAAATATCGTTTGTACTTAGTTGCCCTAAAACCAAAATGTGAGAAATATAATATATCTTCTGCAAGCAACTGAGTTTGTTGTGTATGGCTGAGGAGATTAAATTAAGAAAGGACGACAAAGAGATTCAGATCAGATTTAAAAATTTTTTTTTACAGTGTCCTCGAATAGGGGAACCACAAACAAAAAAAACTCGCATGTAGGTGCAGCAAAAGTCAGCAAAATTGAGATCTGAACAGGCATTAATGGTCAATAACAATTTGTCCACATGACAATTCGAGGAGTATGCAGCAAGCTGAAGTTTTGAAATGCAAGACTTGTTCCACTTATTAATTATTGAAACCTTCAAAAGATTTTTAAATTCAGAATGGCAAGATATACATATAAGTATGATAAAATACACATAATATGATAAAAGTTTTGGGGTTTGTAATGATAAATTTACTAAAACTTCTAAAATAAATTTTCTATTAGAAGTTGCAAAAATAAATATAGTTTTACGATCGAATGAAAAGTTTTGAAGAAACAAATTTTAGAAACACCTACATAGCATTGTCCCCGCGCTGCGGTCCGTTCCAACTCATAAATTGCCTAATAATTATATACTATACTATAATATTTTATATACTGTACCAAATTTCAGTGTCAGATTTGTTCCCCTAATCACCGAAACACCCGTGAAACAACCACACACTCTCCCAAGTCGACAAATATCAAGATCATTTCAAAGTCATAGTCATTTAAATTGGTATTGCCTGTAGCAATAGAATATATTGTCCAATGCCAATTTTTTAAGTCTTTTAAAAGTTCTGTGATTATGGAAGATATTATTCTAATCTTGTTATAATTGTGGCCATAAAGATTTTGTACATTACTGCAATTAGAACTATTGGTGTAGACTTATTGTCACCTTTTCTATATAAAAGGTAATTTTGTCTACAAATCACTCAATTAGTAATTGTTAGTTGTTGAAGATTTCTTGTAATATATTTCCCCTCTTTCATCGTTGATTTCATAGTATTTATTATTTCTTCTGACACTATGTCATATGATGTGTCACTGTTTTTGTTATATCTACAAAGTGAGACAATTCATTCAGTCGAAGATTCGATTCGGTCCGGAGAGTCATTCACTCCCCGGACCTCATGAAATATACGAAAATCCTGAAAGCGAAGCAGCTTTCAGGTAAAAGAGTTGTATTTCAGCAGTTTGCGGCTTGTTAAATGGAATGAATGTGACCAAAGCTAAAGTTATAAGTGTCATGGATTTATTTGATTTTAAAGTTATTATGTATTTGACTTGATTGATTTATGGCTTCTACATAATAGAGAAAGTATATTTTACTGTGCCTGGCGGAGTGGATTACTCTACAGAATTAATTTAATTTACCAGAAATAAATGATAATAATTTCAATTCTGCTTTGTCGTAGGTTAACAAAAATTGTGTCAACTTTGAGGTTTTGTTAAAGAACAACCAATTCATTATTCTTTTGTAGTTGGTTTTGTTGAAAATAAAGAAAAAATAAAAGAATATTATTTCAATTTTATCTCAGAACGATTAATATGTTGTCCATAACCAAAAGTGGCACTTTATCTTGTACATGTATCAATTTTTCGTACCAAGAATCAAATGTTGTAAAAACAATTATAATCAGAATAAACATTCAGATATAAAATCAATTAAAGAGCCTATCCTTTTCATTTTTCATGTTGAACATGTCTAACTAATTTCTGTGTGGATTCATTTAGTAATCCAATCAAGACGCATGATACAGCGAAAGCAATATTCCTGCAACTTTTAGACCACTTTGGGATAGTTCAGATGAGCAAGTATAAAGTGTGCGTCTTAAATAGGCTTGGAGAGTGAAGCAGGTCAGAGTAAAATCCTCGATGAAGCCAAGTTTCCTGACAATGTGAGAAAAAGGGACCTACAAGGGATCTATTTAGCACAACAACACTGCCGTACAAATCAGACAATCAGATCAGAAGAGATCTTGAACCAAAAACTATGGCGTGTGTTTTTCATCTAAGTTGAGATAAACTGACAATGACTTAAAAGTAATTATAAGAACTGTTTTTCGTGTTAATTGAGAATGTTTTCTGTAGAACAGTTTATCTCCATACTTTTTAGATTTTTTGATTTCTCAAAAAATGTAATCCCGACAATATCAAATTTGTGGATTATAAAGTTTACGTTTTATACATTTGTGAGGATCACGAAGAAGTAAAATAGTTCATGGATGACGTTTTTCGGGTTAATATCGGATATTGTTGATACAATATCTTTTCTTGCATCTCTGTTAATTTTCGAGTTTTAAACAAAATGAATGCCAAAAGATTTTTAAATATTAGCGTTCTTAAGTTGTCAAAAATAGGTGATGAAATAAAAATGATTATGCGCATTGTTTTTCGTGTTAATTTAGAATATTTTGTGCTCCGTTCACTTTAGTTTTTTAATATACATTTCAAAACATGTTATCCTAAAAACGTCAAACTTGGAATTTTTAATTTAACTTTTTATATTGCTGACAAGTAATAATGTGGTGAAGATGCTTTTCGGGTTAAATTTGTGATACAAATTTTTTTTTCGTCTCCATTCATTTTCGAATTATAAACAAATTTAGTGTTTTCAAAATAGTTTTCCCTATAAGAAGTTTTTTTTCATCCAGTTTTCTCTAGACAAAGTGTCAATTACAAAAGTGTAATTTTTATGTTAATCTAATTCATTTTTTAAGATAATGTAGTTTACATTGAAGTAAGCTCTTTGGTGGAGGTATCAGAGCTTGTCTTAGGAGTTACCATTCTATCAAGACGAGTAATCAACATACCTGTTATGTGTTCTTTTCACGCACGGAAGTACACGGAATTTTTGCGGGAGGAGATTCGAGTATGTCTTGTTTCACGTTGTAAATAGAGTTTCCTCATTGATAAAAACATACTAGGTTATCGCTACATCTAATGAACAGATCAAATTTGAATTGTAAAATGACCATAACGTGAAAAGTAAAGGATGAAAAGAATTGCACAATATGAAACTCCACGTAAGACAGTTATGTGTGCATGATATGTTACGTGACTTCGTCATTAAACAATTAACGCTTAAATATGAACTAAATTAGGAAATACTACCAATACCCATGGCCCGTAACAAAATGAAATGTAGGTGGTCAACAAAATCGAAACCTTTATAAAAATCAAAGGGAAGGCTTACTTCCATCATCCATTGCAAACCGCCTGAAACAGTACTTTATTGGTGTATGAACCATTAATACATCTTTGTGTTGATTTTTCAGCGCTTAGGCTCGTTGAATTTGCATAAATGTAGATAATTCCTTGTTCAAAATGATTTGTTTTTCTGTACATTTACTACGACTTATTTTGCATTCTATTACTCTATTAATAGTCGTACATCGACCGTTAATCTTGGTAAATATGGCACATATTTTTAGCTGCTTCTGAAATCACAACATAAATCAATCTGTTAACAATAAACAAATGAACAGTGTAATTGGTAATGGAGCATTTTGGCTAAATCAATTATGTGATCTGTGTTAGCACTTAAACAAAGCCGTTGTTGTGATTTAGAAAACATAGCCAGATTCATTATTCTATTTACTGGTGACGATGTTTAAAATGTTGTGTGAACGATAAAACTTCCTCGTTCAGTATCCATATAGATTTCGTAATTTTTTGCAACGACGGTTGATACAATACCTATCAATATTGGTATTTAATCATTTCTCAGTCTCATTTTCTCTTTTATGTGGGATATACATAAAGGTTTTTCCACTTGAGTTAGTAACTCATCCAGCACAATTCCTTATGTTAGACTACTTTCTGCTACCATTTTCAAAATTTGCGTTTTGTCACCGTGAACATTGAAACT